GGATAAAAAGTAAAATGATGGACACATACTTAGGTGGGTGCAGGATCAATTAACATGATAATGAAGGAATTTGTAGTATCTGTCCTGGCGCCCAGAACATTTGGTTGTGCCCCAGGGGCTCCAGAAAAAGGGAAGTTACAAGTTACCCAGACATTTCAAGGGTATGTTATCTTAGAGGCAAAAAGGCAAATGGGCTCAGTAAGGATCAAAGTTGATCTTGTCAGTGAAGATACTGGCCTAGGACATAACTGCCCACCATAACTGCTTTTAGTTAAAGTTTAATTTCAGACCATCCTTTGTGGTTACTTTAGGTCTCTGAGTCTGCTAGGCTGCCACGCAGGCCTTCCCTGAGCTTGTCAGGTCAGCGTGTGGCCCCTTTCGTCCACAGTAGAAAAATTTCTGAACAGTGGTTGACCATGGGTCAGACCTTTTAGTTTATAAAGACACAAGGGATCACATGATCTCATTCATATGTGGAATCTAAAGAACAAAATGAACTGATGAACAAAATAGATCCAGAGACACAGAAGCATGGAACAGACTGTGGAACTTCAGAGGGAAGGCGAGGGTAGGTAGGTGGGTGGAAAGTGATTAATCAAAGAATTTATATGCATACATGCATAACCCATGGACACAGACAATTGTGTGGAGAAGGCCTGGGGAAGGGGTAGGTACAGGCTAGAACAGTGGTTCTCAACCTTCCTAATGTCTCAACCCTTTAATACAGTTTCTCATGTTGTGGTGACCCCCAATTTCATTGTTACAAATTGAACATAATTAAAGCATAGTGATTAATCACAAAAACAATATGTAATCATACACGTGTTTTCCGATGGTCTTAGGCGACCCCTGTGAAAGGGCTGTTCGACCCCCAAAGGGGTTGCGATCCACAGGTTGAGAACCGCTGGGCTAGAAGGAGTCAAGGGAAAAAAAGGGAACATCTGTAACACTTTCAATAAAAATAAAATTTTTAAAAAACACAAGGGAATTTTCAAGGTAATAGAAATGTTCATTATTGTGTAATGTGTGAATGTTTGTTCTCCCATGACCCGAGTGGTTCAGGGTTCAAGATCTGGAAGAGGGGCCGCACACAAATGAGAGACGAGACAAGAGATAATTTGGAAATTGGGGGGCCAGGCGAGAGCCCATCCCAAGAGGATTGACTCCACCTGTGCTCAGGCCTCGCCATCCTTTTATTCAGTTTGGGATCCACCCATAGCCCTTAGGCAGGCAAGTTCCAGGAACAGGCAGACTATCTTATCAGTAAGGATTTACATGACTATTTGGTGGGGAAGTTGCTTCAGCTACCATTGTGTGGACTAAACAGTGGCTGCATAGCTCTGACCTTTGCCAGGGCTTAAGGGTCACTAGCCTTCCGGGTTCCTTGTCCACACCTCTCTGCTAGTGAAGACAATAGGTGGCTTCCCACACATTATCTTATTTTTTGGTTGATAGTTATATGAGTTAATATTATTAAAACTTAATGAACTGTGTAATTAGGATCTATGCATAAATCATAATAATAAAAAGTAATAGGAAAAATGTTGAAAAAAGGCAAGACATGAACACTTTATCTAGTGTGTTCACAAATATGTTAGAAACAAGAAAACGTACATAAAATAACTGAAAGGAAATATGTAAAAATATTAACAAGGGATTGAACCATGGGTGTCTTTCTTTTTCTTTTCTCCCTTTCTGTGAATTCAAATTACTTTTAAAAATTTTTTTAAAATTTTTCTTTATTGATTAAGGTATTACATATTGTCCTTACCCCCCCGCAACCCCTTTCCCCCACCCACTCATGCCCTCACTCCCTGGTGTCTGTGTCCATTGTTTATGCTTATATGCATGCATACAAGTCCTTTGGTTGGTATCTCCCCTTTATCCCCACTTTCCCCTACACTACCTCTGAGGTTTGACAGTCTGATTGCTGCTTCTCTGTCTCTGGATCTGTTTTCGTTCATCAGTTTATATAGTTTATGTTGTTCATTATATTACACAAATGAGAGATCATGTGATATTTATCTTTCCCTGACTGACTTATTTTGTTTAGCATAATGCTCTCCAGGTCCATCCACACTGTTGCAAATGGTAGGAGTTCCTTCCTTTTTATAGCAAAACAGCATTCCATTGTGGAGATGTACCAATTATTCACTTTTTAAACTAAATTTATTGGGGTGACATTGGTTGACAAGACCATATAGATTTTAAGTGTATATTTCTATGATACATGATCTGTATATTGCATTGTGTATCCACCACCCACAGTCAAATTATCTTTGTAACCACATATTTGACACCCTTTACTTTCTAGTACCCCACCTCCTTCCTTCTGATAAATGTCATGCTGTTGTCTGTGTCTAAAGAAATCTCTGTTGCCCATGAAATAAACTGGAATTTCTAAGTATTTCTGAGTAAGGTTGGGGAAACTGTAAAAGTAGGAACAAAGACACAGGGGAAAACAGTTCATAAACAGAGCAAAAAGCTTAATAAAGCAGTTGCTTATGCCCAGCTGATGTGGCTCAGTGGTTGATCATTGACCCATGAAACAAAAGGTCACCAGTGATTCCTGGTTCAGGGTTGTGGGCTTGACCTACAGTAGGGAGCATGCAGGAGACAGCCAATCAATATTTCTCTCTCATCAATTTCTCTGTCTCTCTATCCCTCTCCCTTCTTTTCTCTCTAAAATCAATAAAAACATATTTAAAGTGCTTACTTAAATTGTATAGAGAAGTTGAAAATAACAAATAGAAATTCCAGACAAAAAATAAAAAAGCAAGTTCTACAACCACATGCGAACGAAAGAATAGCAATTTCTGACTCTAAGACTTTGATCCCTGTAATCATGGGCACTTCCTCATCCCTAGGACAACTGGACCTTTTATGCCTGTCATCCCAACAAATCTTTTCAGAGCCTCCTTTATGTCTTTGTTCTTCAGACTGTAAATGAAAGGGTTGAGCATGGGTGTGACCACGGCATACATCACTGAGGCTGTTGCACTTGAGTGTGAGCTTTGGGTAGCAGCAGAGCTGAGATACACTCCTAGGCTTGCACAATAAAATAAGGAGACAACTGAGAGGTGAGATGCACACGTAGAAAATGCTTTATACTTCCCCTGAGCTGATGAGATTCCTCGTATGGAGGACACTATCTTAGAGTAAGAGTAAAGGATCCCAGCAAGGGGACCACCACCCAGCAACACAACTCCAAAATACATCACCATGTTATTAAGAAAGGTGTCAGAACAGGCAAGTTGGACCATCTGATTGAGTTCACAGAAAAAGTGAGGGATTTCCAAGTCTGCACAGAAGGATAGTCCTGACACCATTAAGCTTTGTAACAAGGCATACAGGGCACTTGTGATCCAGGACACCAGAACCAGCAGTCCACAGAGCCGAGGGTTCATGATGACTGTGTAGTGCAGGGGGTGGCAGATGGCCACATACCTGTCATAGGCCATCACGGTCAGCAGGGCGTTGTCCAGTCCTGCAAATAATAGGAAAAAATGCATCTGGGTGATGCAGCCTTCATAGGTGATGACTTTGCTT